CTTGTTCCACATCGAATAACAATGGGGCCGTAAGGGCTTCCACATAATTAGATCTGAAAATGAAAAGAACGGTATTCCATTCTCGTGAAACAAGGTTTTTGAGCAACTGCATCCATGGGACCAACAGACACGTTCGCTTTATTCTACCATGTTATGATAATTTTTAAAAAGCAGTTTTCCCTCAAATGTGATTCTTCTTTGTTTCAGCGAGGCCTCAGAATTCAGTTATACGGGTTCGTAACTACAGGATCTCGTCCCCAGAGTCTTGAACGGCCACGGTTATCATCCTGACGAAATAAGAGACGCCATCTTGAAAGCAGAGAAGGAAGCCATTTTATGAAAACTATTACTGACCTCAACGGTTTCACTTGGAACGCTGGAAAATCCCAGTACTTTAATTGTGTAAGATTTTATTGATAGGTGTGATAGATAACTCTAACGAACTAATTAACTAAGCTAGGCGTGAATAATTAATAATAATTAATCTAATAAATGACCGCCGATCACATTGACATCACTATCATAAGACAGGCTCGCCAAATCCAATTCATAATACAACGGAGCGTAAGCCACTGAAGACACTCCAGAACTCGCAGTGTAGCAAAGTTAATAACGCTGCTCCGGTGACTTCGCGCCGCGCGGTAAGGGGATTAAAGCCCTTTCGCGGTCTTGAAGCATGCAGATTTGTAACGGCTGCTACGAGGGCTGTTTAATCATGAATGCGAAAGATTAATTATAATTGCTTACGTCTACTAATTCCAGGCTTCAGCTCAAGATATATTTTCGTTGGTCTAGCTCTCAGTAAATACACATAAGCGTGAATGTTCACTTTGTTTCATTGAAATATAAAATTGTTGTATGCATGTACGAGGTGCGATCGTAAAGTTTCTAGACTGTGTCAATAGAGGGCGAACCGGATGTATTACGAGCTTCTGCCTTTAGGGGGTGCGGCCTACATTCATAGTGAATCAGTGTGCCAGCCGGCATCATCGAATTAGCATTTGTTTCTTAGTTACGGGCGTTTTGGTAGTGCATTACACCGACCCTCCTGCGATTTCGGAATGGCGTGTGCATCAAATTTTGCCAAAGACTCGCCAAAACGGCTACGTATATGTTTGAAATTCATTTTAAACTTAACATTTATTAAAACTTGATATCTGTGGCCGCACATCGTGTATAATTCCAGAACCGAACTACATACAACATACAACAAGGGGAACGAGTTTGACATGAGTGGTCTTCATCGTTTCGACATTGGGGTCATGGACACGAATTTCACTCGAAACATAGATCTTCGTCCGCGTTGTCCCGTGACCGGGCGGCCTCCGATCAAGACGTTTTACCAGGTGGCTAGCTAACAACGTATCTAAACCAAAATAAGTAACCAACTGCCTTCCGTTCTTTAACCCTTTGAAGCCGAAGATCGTCTGAATATTATTTATGAATTCAGTCCGTACCGCGAAGAAAACACCTCACTTAACCATTACAAGTCGAATCAGGCGGTACCACATAAGATTTAACAAAAGAACATCCCGGTCAATGCCTTAAGAACACGAAGGTTTATCGTAGCCTTCAGAAAAGACCGCCATTGAAATCCTGAACAGGATCAACATAACCAAGACCTGTTCCCTGTCACGGGCTCCTTGTCCGGTCTCAGCCTTCGATTACCTGTTGCTGGTTCTCTCTCTGGGTGGTGAGGCGAGCCTCCACACACTGTCGCGTCTCCAAAAACGCCTGTCTCTGCGCCAACTCGCTGGGGTAGTGCGTGAACACGCCCGCGATGTTAGTGCTCGCCAGAAGCACAATGTTAGCCACCACCTACAAACAAACACACGTTCAGACCCACGCACAATCCCCACGTTACCACAGCATTGACATTAAAATGATTCTACTGTGCACATAACATTTTTTAAGTTCGACGTTCGTTATCTTGGATGTAACGTCGCGTTTAGACGTTTAGAGGGAATATAATTCCTCTTTCTTAAGATCACGGCGTTACAATCCAGTAGACCACAGCAGCCATGAGAATTCTAAATTTTATTTGAAAGACAATCAATATAGTGCAAATAATAGAGATTTTTTATTATTTACGTAAAATAAGTGGAATGAGTTTAATAACGGGACTATTTTTAACACGGAAATGAACAGCCATCTGAGGAAGTATAAACTTTTCAATAAAAATCCTGAATTAAATGGAAGGTTTTATATTGTATAAGACTCACAGTAAAAATCAAATCATTTTGAAGCCTCTAACACATGAATCAAAATAACACTAATCTCAATCCTGTGATTGCAGATTCTACTTACGTATTTAAAGGAATATTAAACATATAGGGTTACTGTAGTTGGAAAATTACTATTTTATAAGCAAGGAATATTTTCGTTTCTCGTGTTAAACACTCCATCTCACTGGATAGAAGTCAATTACGATCCGGGTACAACGCCCGGACATTACGGAAGATTTCTGAGAACGTAAATCAACCCAATTATGTAATGCGCTATTATCTGTTCTGTGAAGTGTGTGACTGGTCCGTGTATCCGCTCGCTGTTGTACGAAAGACGCTGCACGTCTCGACGGAAGGCGTGATTGGACAGCCAGATACGAACAAGGTCTGCTCGCCCTTGGCAGTTACACCGCATATCAAATCAATACACAGCCACAAGATACTTCAAATTGTGTGACAGAAGTTTGCTTCTAAAAACAAGACGGGTTGTCATGACAGCAGACTGAGATAAGGCGCAAGAGCGATTGATCGAATAATGATGCTAATTTATTTCGTAGGAATGGCTTAATGGAGCATCTACGGAGAAAACATAAAGCGACGAACTCTGGAGCCCAGAAAGATTATGTGCACTACAAAACTTGTTTCTTTATCTACTACTTATTTATAACTAGCTACAGGTAAAGATTTCTGTCTTCTGGGTTGTTGCGCTGTGTAGTCTGTTCGATGTTAACCAACGTTTCAGAGGTCATACTGCCTCCGTCATCAGGGCGATGAAGCCCGCCATCGGCCACGATCCTGAGCCAACTCCATCCATTTGCCATCCTCGCAGCCTCCACCTCCCTAAGATCCATCTTGATGTTATCGTCCCATCTCCTTCTTGGTCTGCCCAGTGGTCGTTTCCTATAAGGATTCCCCACCAAAATTCTGCATGTACCCCTTGCCCACATGCGTTCTACATGTACAGCCCATCGAAGCCTCCTAGATTCCGCTATCTTCACTATGTTACGTGACCTGTACAATTCACGTAGCTCCTCGTAATGTAATAGTCTAAATTCCCCGATTATTTCATTGCTACTAAGTCCAAATATCTTCTTGAGCACTCTGTTTTCAATCACTTGTAATCCACATTCTTCCTTCAAGGTAAGAGAACATGTTTTACAACCATAGAAAACAACAGACAAAATCATTGTTTTATATATCCTGATCTTTAGTGTTCTGGATAGCAAACGAGATGGTAATGTTTTCTGAATAGTTTCCCAAATGTATCTACTCTTAATTTCATCATGAACCTTATTTCTCTGTGTTATTATTGTTCCCAGATACTTCAATTTTTAAATATTTTCAAATTACGTGTTACTTATAATTATGATCCACCACTGTTGCTGATGTTGATGTCTATATTTACCTCCAGGTCCATTTCCTTGCTAGTCTGTACGAGAGTTTCTGCATTCTTGGTTATGATACCCTCACCATCCTCCAACAAATTAACATCATCAGCTTGGTTCAGACCATTCAATTCGAGCCCTTAATGATTCCCTCTAACCTTACTGACGAGGAAGTGGCTTATATAGGCTTAATGATGCTATTTGACAAACTGTGGGAAACTACGAAAAACCTCTGTCAGGGTGATAGATAATCCCGCCGAGAATCTAACTAAATTAATCTCCAAATTAAAGCATTATCGATAACTAAGCGTAACAAATTCAAACCCGCGCTGCAGAACAGTAAACTATACAAATCAATTTCTCCCTACTCTAAAACATTTCGCATTTTAATTCAGAGTTTTAAGAAACATCTGTAAAAATACGGAGGGGCTAGTCGGATTAGCCGAAGTCGCTTGGGACTGGAGCTCTCTAATGGCTGAAGATTTACGTACCCATGTTGCTTATAATTCCCATAAAATAAATTAACAGAAAATTCAATTTAATTAATTAATGCCATGAATAAGAACTGGATAATAGGAACGACCCGTTCTTCAAGTTCCTGAGCATTGGCTTGATCTATAGACATTTTGGTAGGACTCCTTGGACGAGGGATCGGCCCGTCGCAAGGCCTCTGCACAACACAGTGGGATTCGAACTCACGGTCCCAGCGACCAAGCGACACAAGGCCCACGCCTCAGACCACGAAGCACAAAGAATCCTTGCATAAATGCAGTATGCTGTAAAGGCTGATTTTATATCTTACTGTTATCACTGAGATCGTGGTCCTCACCTTCATCTTTTCCACTTCGTAGTTTCGATTTGTTTACGTTCACACATTTAGTATTAACTTGCATTACAATTGTTACTACAAGAAATGTACGACGCTCGCTGCTGTTCTGTTGTTTTCGAAACTCAACGCAGCCAGTGCTTCCCTCTGTCTCGAGCTATTAGAGATACTATGGCGTGAAATGACTGTCTTCTTTTTGAGTTGCACAGCACGTGGCGGCAACATCACAAAAGTTTGAAAATAAAAGTGATAAATACTGGAAATATTTGTTGTTATTTTTCTGCTATTAACCACATCTGTGGAGATGCTACTTCAAAACAGGGTTGGTAAAGAACGGGCTCCACTGCTACCAACCTCTTTTGTCCAGGTTTCTATTCATACTTGAAATATTTGGTTCAGAGGACTTATTTTTACCTGAAAACTTCTCTTAAAATCTTTATGTCTCTTGCAGTCAAATTTACAATAAGAACTACTTATATAGCGCGCAACTAAGAACTTGTCGGGTATCGGAAGACTTAAATCTCCGGGGAACATGAATTTGGGCTTATCTGTGACAGAGTCTGAAATTCCGAAAGTTATATTTTCACAAAGAATGAATCGCACAAATGCAAATTGTTTCAAAATCTTAAAAAAAAAAATTAGCTCAAAACTGCCTCTAAATAAGACATCTGAAACAAATTTCAATATCAACAACGAACCAAGAAAAGCCGTGAATGAGAAAATATTCAGAAATCATTCCAATACCACAAATTCAGAGAAAAGCAAAGGATGTGACGAGCGTGGGAGCCTGAAATGCAGACGTTCGTTTCTTACGTTCAGAAAGCAAGGCGAGTTTCGGTCTCCCTTACACGAATGTGAAATTTACGTGATCCGTGGATGTCGTAGTACACACAGATTTGCCTTTAATTTGAACACGACATAATATTGGTTAAATGCAGGCAAGATAACCACACAAACGGGGAAGTAGGATTCTTTTTTATAATGCAGTCGTCGAGGAATGAAAGAAAATAGATGTTGGTCGGAATCAGACGAACTTTACTAATGAACAGCTCAGTCCATTAGCGAGCTGATGATTACAGCTTTAAGATAAGGATGATACTTCCGTCATTCGACATGGATGAAAACAAAAAAATGAAGAATTTCTTGCTGGAAAATCCCGAGTGCGTTTACCAACAAAGGTGATAGTACTGTTACCTGCATTCTTTGCTGGAGTACGTGACTTGGCTTCGGTCTCCTTCGTGATGGGAATAATTAAAGTGTGTTCACGCCATGTTCCACTCTAAATATTATTCAACTCCAGAACGGATGATCCAATTTTAATTACATTTAGTACTGATTTTTTTTTTTTAAAAGACCACTTTACGTGGGAAAACAATTTTGAGTTTATCTAAAATATTTGCGAAATTCATAAACTGACTTTTTTATTTCACTTGAATCAACATGAAAAATATGTTACGTAAATCGACTTTGGCTCGATAAGATCTGAGGTCAATTGAATAAAATTTTTCTTGGATATTATCCATCGTCTAGTAAATATAAAACGTAAAACGACGTTTCGGAGATGGGACTCTATCTCCGTCTTCAGCTTCCTACTCAGTTGGGCCCACTAGATAGAGCTAATCCCCATCTCCGAAACGTCGTTTTACGTTTTATATTTACTAGAAGATGGATAATATCCAAGAAAATTTTTATTCAATTGACTCTTCACCATCGTCAAGAAGTTTTAGATTTGATAAGATCTGAGGTCGTCACAACGGTGAGTCCGAATGTGGCCGTGTAGTCTGGTAGATTTCCACCAAAATTTCAGATGCCAGATTCATCGCCCGGATGATGGAGGCAGCAAGGACCTCTGAAACGGTAAAATTCTACCAGACTAAACGGCGCAACAACCCAGAAGCCAGCCATCTTCGATAAACATGCATTGCATTATTAACTACATGTGATAATCGCGATCAAAGATGACGTCCTGCATAGTTCAGTGTAATATGTGTCCTCCTCTTTGCGATACCTTAATTCAATCCACAACGGGTTTTCTCTGTAGTGGAGTGGGGGGCGATGCTATGATTTGAGTTTCGTGACCCCGTGGGAGTACAGCATTGGAAGACCCCGGATGCCTTATTGAGTAGCCACTCGCAGAGGGAATTCACATTGGCTAACCAAAACACAAACACGATTTCGTATTCTGAGTGTTGCTAACTCGAGGTACGACGTACACGTGGACAGAGACGCAAATTGTCAAACACTCGTAGTCTAAACAGACGAGAACACTAAAGTCATATGAATTAAATTACATCGTAGTTTTAATTCATAAGCGTCTGGAGTGAGTCTACACTTAGGCGACTATTTGCGAAAGAACTTAACAAAAATAAAATAAATATCAATATTTTACGCATTTAATTAGTTTTAAATTCAGAAAAATGAGTTATTTTAATATGGCTGTCTTCTGGGACGTTGCGGCGTGTAATCTAATAGACGTTTCAGAGGAGATTACTACCTTCATTACCTGATGCCTTGAGAACCTCAGATGTCATCAAGTAAGTTATTTACTTTAATTATCTCAGAAAAAACTAAGTACATGTTAGCATCTCGTCATCAGAAGACAGGCGGGCAAAATTATCTTAGGGTGGCTAACAAATCCTTTGAAAGTTTTACAAAGTTCAAATATTTGGGAACAAAAATCAAAAATCAAAATGATACTCGTGAGGAAATTAGGAGGAGATTAAATTCCGGAAATGCTTGCTACTTCTCAGTTCAAAATATTTTATCTTCCCGTCTGGTTTCTAAGAACCTGAAAATTAAAATATACAAAACAATAATCTTGCCTGTTGTTTTGTATGGGTGCGAAACATGGTCTCTCACTCAGAGGGACGAACACAGATTGCAGGTGTTTGAGAATCGGGTGTTGAGGAGGATATTTGGGCCTAAGAGGGAAGACGATGGGGCGTGGAGAAAACTGCA